TTCTTTCACTAAGTTAACTAATCCAAGGATGGTGATCCAGGACAAGAATGAACTTTGCAAACCTAAATCCTCTCTGGATTTTCAGATGTTAATATACTTCTTAAATATAAGACTCAGAACAAGTTTCTTATGTTCCCTGAAGCATAGTTTTCTCATCAGTGTAAAGAAGAGTCTGAACTGATCTCTGAGATCCCTTCTGGCATTGACATACTACCAATCTTTGATTCTATAATCTTAGATTATTTCTGTAATAGACTGTAAACACCTTACCATATTTCTAGAATCTGACCTCATTCTCCAAATGGACTCTTTTAAAAAATGAACAGAGTTACCTGTGTTACATGCAACCACCCTGCCTAGTTACACTAGTGAGATTCACATCTATAGCCCCAAACACTTGTCCTTCCAGTTTCATCGAGGTGAGCACCAAGGTAATTGCCAGGAAAGTCGCCAAGGGCTCTCCTGTATCTCATTGTTAATCAGGACTGCATTTCTTTCCCCCCATTCTGATCAGGGACTGCAAAGATGTGATTTCTGAAGGGTTTATTTGGCATACTCCTGGGGAAAACACACACACACACACACACACACACACACACACACACACACACACTTTTCCTTAAAAAGGGGGTGGAAGTTGTAGAAGTTGGTGGGGGTGTTGGCAGGTCCCTAAGAGCAAAAGTTAGACAGTGTTGCCCTCTGGTGGCAAAATTTCCCAACAGTGACCTTTGCTTTGAAGAAACTGCAATCACACTGGCTCGTCAGGGACTGGACACAGGGCGCTCGGGACACAGCATACATGCGGAGAGGAAGAGGTCACTTGCTCAGAGATGGCCATTCCATAGAGAGTTGCTACCTTGACAAGCAAATAAAATCTTGCCACCAAATTGCTATGCTCTCTCCTTTCACTATCTCTCTTGGCCACAAAGGATTTGATCTTTATCTCATCTGTAGTACTCCCTTTTCTCCCATCAGTTCAATGCTTGTTAGAAATAAGATTAGAAGATATTTTAAAACTCAGAGGATTTGCCAAATCAAAGGTTTTGCCAAATAAGCTTATCATTAGTCCTTATGACTGCTTGACATCATAGGGTTTTCTTTTTTTCTACGAAATACTATGCGTGTGGATGAACTGGGGTAGCTCTGCATTCATAGTTTGAAGAACAAATTCTTCTGCCTGGGTATCAGTTTCCTCCTTTCTAAAAAGAATGAACAGGAATAAGTGCTAAACAGATTTAATGCGCAATGATTCTTGTACCCCAATATTTATCTATATAGTTTTTGCATTTTATATTCCAAAGACCCATACTTCAAGGACATGTTGAAAAAAGAAAATAAATGTATTAATGCAAACAGCTCCACATCAAGGGCATTGCATAGAAAGGCAGTTTTTAGACAAATGCAATTAAAATCACAATACTGATGAAGAAAGTCAGAAATATCAATCAGGAGGGCAACATTACCCTTTGATGGTAGAAAGAACAAAGCTGGGTGAATAAGTAAAGCGCTGCATAAGAATATGTTAATCAGTTTCAGGGTATTTCATTTGCCTCGTGCATGCATCTTATAGCATTTGTTTGTATTTTCTTGTAAATATGTGAATTAAAATAAATTTTATTATGGAGAGCTATTTTATCTATGGCGTTTTAGTTTCTCCCTTAATTGAAAAACTACTGGGCTATCCTCAAACCAAAGATGGATCTAATGGCCACTCCTTTCAACTCCTGCCAGAGCTCACAAGGAGACAGAAGGCTGTGGAAAGGAGTATTTTTGCATGAACGTGCCAATTCAACAAGATCTGATACAGAAAAGATGGCTTTCATCTCCTATGCTGTTGTGGGGTGACAACTGTTTTTTAACCTAAGCCTCATGTTGGGACTCAAACAAATACACAGTTCATTGTAATTAGGATTTCGGAAACACGTTCACACAGCACCCACGGAAATAATGCAACCAGCCACTGGGCCAATGCCTGGTGATTTGCTTTAGTCTTTTAATGACAGACCACTAATTCCAAACAGGAGTGGTGGAGAGGATGGGCAAAGGGCTGGCATCAGAAGCTTGGCCAGAGTTGCTAGTCAGAACTGCCAACAGTGAGCCTCCACTGCTGTCTCCTTCACTCTGCTTTGTGGTGGACATTAAGCATTCCAATAAAATCACCAGCTTGATGCTCAGCTGGCCTGATTGCTGAAGAGACTGATTGCATTATTCATTCTCATGAAAAGATTTTTAGGACTCTCAAGGATCTATAGAGATTACATTAAAAATAAAAAAAAAAACTCCAGAGTTATCAACAGTTTAATTTATCCTCCTATTCTCTCAAAAGGAACAAAATCACAGAAGACAATAGACAGAGCCTGAACAGAAAACAGGTTTTTGCTGAGGTTGAATCAGTTTGGAAGCCCTGCATGTTATGGGATTGGGTGCCCCTCTCTTAGTCTTTTCTTTTTTCTTTTTCATTTCCCCTTTCCACTTTTATTCCAGACAGGTTCCTCTAACTTTTTTAAAAAATAAATAAACAAAAAGTAAACAACACCCCCTCCACCAAAAAAAAAAAAAAAAACACCAAAAAAAGTCCCAAAACAACAAAAGCTTGCTGCTTGCTAATTCCCTATGAAATACTTCCATCTACTGGCTGAATGGAGAAGACTCATGTTTTAGCTTTTGTTGTTGAATTTGTACCACAATTTATGAACACTACTCTTCAAGTATTTAATACAAAAAAATAGGAATCGCAAATCCAAAAATTAAAGAAACTGAGCAATGTTTTACTTTATATTTAGCAATAGACCCAAGGAATACCCCCAAGTATTTGATATAGGCATGAACATTCAAATGCACTTTGCAAACACCCAAAATGAGGCACAGATCTGCAGTACTGCAGAAAGCAAATTGGTGAGAAAAAAGGAATTGAGAGACTAGGGAGAGCAACGGTAAGAGATGATCTTTTAAGAGATGATCTTTCTGTCAAGTTAGTCAGGATATTTTAAATCAGACCACATAGGGAACAAGGCCATAGCATTAGAGATGAAATCAGAGACAGTGGCCAAGGTAACCACATTCTCTTTATGAAGAAAAGTAATTCTGTGAGATCTAAAAAGAAACCAAATTGGATTTCAAGTTATGTTATTAAAGAGGATGTTATTTCAAGTTATGTTATTAAAAAGCCATTCAGAAATGATGCTTCTTCCTCTGTGTTCATTTTTTAAAAGAGTCCATTTGGAGAATGAGGTCAGATTCTAAAAATATGGTAAGGTGTTTAGTCTATTACAGAAATAATCTAAGATTACAGAATAAAAGATTGGTAGTATGTCAATGCCAGAAGGGATCTCAGAGATCAGTTCAGACTCTTCTTTACACTGATGAGAAAACTATGCTTCAGGGAGCATAAGAAACTTGTTCTGAGTCTTATATTTCAGAAGTGAATTAACAAATTCAACAAAAAATACAAATAAAACTCAGGGTTTCCATATGGATGTTAAATGCATTATATTGTTTGTAACATTCTTTCAAGAGTTGTTAGTTTCTAAAAGCAGATCCATATGCACAACAGAGCATCACAGACATCCTGTTATTGGGTTAATATTCACATCACAGTGGAACATCTTGCTGCGGTTTGTCCATTTAGAATACACAGGGAACAACAGACTGCAGAGAAAATACAGTGCCTTTTTCAAAGGATAAGTCTCAATAGGTCATGGGGCTAAATAAAATACGGATTGAATTATGTTCCCTCATTAGCTGGGCGTGGTGTTGTGCGCCTATAATCCTAGCTACTCAGGAGGCTGAAGCAGGAGAATCACTTGAACCTGGGAGGCGGAGGTTACAGTGAACTGAGATCGCACCACTGCACTCTAGCCTGGGTGACAGGGCAAGATTCTGTAGAGAAAAAAAAAAAATGTTCCCTTTGAGGGAACTTCTCTAAAAGTAATTAATATGTTATGTACCCTATTGGTGAAATGTAAAAAGAGGGGTCAAACCAAAAATGAATCCTTAAGGAGGTTTAAGGTAAAGACGTGGTGACTTAAATAACTCCACATACACATCTTGAGAAACTGAAGCTCTAATCTTTAAGTCAATTTCCTTAGTGATATATATAAAAACTCAGCAAGGAGAGAGTTCCCCAGAAGTAGCTGGCTGTGATGGGCTTTCGCCATGACTCTAGTGCTCTGTGGCATTACAGCCATTTCCATCCCCAACTTTAGACCTGCTTCTGCCATTGACTGGCCACACGAATTGAAGATTGAGGCTTAGCATTTCTCAACATTGCAATTTCCCAATGGTATGAATGTGCTCTGAGGATATAAAAAGAAAAACTCTGCTTGTAGAAATAGAGAAATGTGGGGGTATAGCATTAAGTGCAACGGATAGGCACTTAAAAGGCAACATTACAATATAATTTATTACTTCCGGACGCATTGCAAACACACACACACACACACACACACATTCATGAGTGCTGTTATCTACACTTAAAAAATATAATTCTTACTTTCCTTTCCCAGATATGGCATGTTTCTTGAAGAGAGTAAATTTTTAAAAATTAAACATTTATTCAATCCCATTACAAAGTATAATTTTCCAGAATATTTGAGTGCCCAGAGGCAAATTGCAGAAATGTGTACAAAATGAAGCAATTTTTCTAATCAAATCACTGACATGTTAAAAAATTCATCTGAAATTTAAAAAAAGAAAAAAAAAAAAAGAATAGATTCCGTAGCACAGTCTTCATTTCTTAGATTTACTATTAAAGGCATAGCAGTGAAAAGCCCCCGAAACCACCCAGAGGTATCACTCAGAGACCCAGGATCAGCTTTGATGCTTCCTGGCCCTCACGTCCCAAATGCTGACTTTTCCCCAGACATCACTCACATCTGCGCACTTGTGTCTCTTCCCACCAGCCCCATCCCACCAGGACTAGCGTTCTGTTAGGGTCGGGACCAGCTGTCTCTGCATGGAAACCAGTGTGGCGCTTTCACAATGGAAATGCGATCACTTACCTCCCTTCTTTAGAACCTATCAAATATTTCCTCTTGACCTTAGGATAAAGTTGTTCTTGGTTTTTAGCCTAAGCTGGAACACAAAGCCTTGATAATCTGGGTTTCCCTTTTAGACAGGCCAGGTGGAAGCGATCGCCCGGGGGAAAGAACCTCAACCAAGCTTGCGCCACTAGGAATAACGGCTGCACTTTGGCGCCTCCGGGGGGAGAGCAGGCGAGAAGTTCGTGTGCCCTTTGAAGGCAGGGGGGGGAGCCTGGCCCTCTCTGTCCTGTGTGGAACCTTGGGGAGTTCAAAGCGGGCAGTGCGGGAAAGCGGCCCTAGCAGGACTGCCTTCGCGATAGTTCGTTTCGCCCTTTTCTGTGCCTCTTCACCCGACTACAGACTCGCTCTCTACTCCCCATTTCAAAAACCACCTGCGAGCAACTAAATTCTCGGATGGCCATTGGGACGGACGAGGGAACGCCCGTCTTTAGCGTGAACCAAGGAAAAGTCCTGCAACACGTTTTATACGATGCCCCCATCCTTCTTTTTGGGGGTCGCCGGGTTGCGCGGCGCGAGTGATGAATGTGCCCCTTCAGGGCTTGGGCCGA